TTCCTTCCTTCCTTCCTTCCTTCCTTCCTTCCTTCCTTCCTTCCTTCCTCCCTCCCTCCCTCCCCTCCCCTCCCTTTTATTAATCAAATTTATACGCTGCCCATCTCACTGAACAAGTGACTCTAGGCGGCTTACAAGTAAAAAAGTGATAAAAAACAATAAAAATCTGTACAAAGATACACAAAGTTAAAAGGTGGAGAGAGCATCTTCAAGCTACCAACCACCCAGTTGGCAGAGCCAGGTCTTAATGCTCTTCCAGAAGGCCAAAAGAGTTTTAATTCTTTTAAAAATTAATTCTTTTAAAACTTCAGCACAATACTTAAGATCTCAAAATGTATAAAGGCATTTGTAATTGAATACATACTTGCTGCTGTTTGAAGTCAGGCCTCTTTTTAATAAGATTATATACAGTTATATATTTCATGTAAAGTACATAGGCCTTCTCTTCATCTCTGTCCAACCGGCATTCCTCGGCTGCCTTGAAGATCTTAACAGCGCTCTGCACGTAACTTGAAATTGAAACAAAGAATGGAAGTCACAAAAGCTTGCATTACCTTCTGCAAATACAGACTGTAAAAAAACAGCAGAACCCTTGTCTACAGAAGCAAGTAAGAAAACTGCTTTTGAGCACAAAGAAGATTAAAAATTATTCTCCAACAAAAGCCCTGCATTTGGCTTTTCTGATCTCCGTTTGTTCAATTATCTTCTGACGCTGCTGCCAAACGTGCAAGGCACTTTGCTGATACTTCAAATGCATACCATTAATCATTTATAACACAACCCACTGCAAGTTTAGTCAGAAGTAAATCTCAGTGAATTCCATTGCATTTACTCCCTGGTAAAATGTTTGGCTTTCTCCTAAGGAGTAGCGCATACAAATAAAGAGTAAAATAATTACATTTCAAGTGACATAGCATGTGCTGAATACGGCTCTTCCTTTCAAGGAAGGATGAAGCAGCTTCTAGAAAATGAATCAGCATCATGCTTCAACCAGGAGGGAGTCTTAATTTCATATGGGAAGGGATGTGCATGTTTAAGTTAGTCGAAGAGTTCCCAGCAATGCTGTAAAAAGACCCAGAAATGGTATTTGTGGAAAAGTCCATTATGATCCACAGAACACTGAGTGTTGCTGGAACTCATTCACTAGATAATTCAGTGACAAAGGCCTTCTAAGCAGTGAGAATAATTTAAATGATCTGCGAAGAGGAATATCCCCTTCGATCTCTATCATCAAACTAACATTAGGAAAAAATATATAATGGCTGGATTGAACATTCGTACTTTTTAGTACTTGTTTTCTCTGCCTTTATTTCTGTCTTTTTGTTCAGATCTTTCAACGATGTGCAGAGGTAGAGATCTTTAGGTACAGAAGCCAGGGTAGGCATGTTAATATACTACAATGTCTCCTCAAAAGGATGTTACAGGTTCAGTCGTCGTTTTCTGAAAAAGAAAGATTCCAAATAAATCTTAATAATAAATAAAGTCCAATCTCTGATCAGATATAGTAATAGTAATACTTTATTGATTAGCCATTAGGCCATATCAGAATACAAAATATAACATACAGAACAGTAATAAGACCATATGTTAAAAATAAAGTAAAAGAAGAAAATGCAAATCATTTTTCTGTGTCATCCCTACAATTTACCCCAATCAGATCCACATGTGCAGTTCTCAACTGTACTGTTTTGTCCAAATAAAGGGCTGATCAGATTTGTTAACACCATAATAGAAGCACAATACTGTACTGGAAATGTCTCAGACAAATGTCCTTTTCAGCCAGATATATAGTTTAGTTTGTAAGTCTGGATATTCTATAGGTTGCAGTAATTAATATTTTGTGTTGAATTATGAAAAGGTTATATTTCTAAAAATATCCATGAAAACCTTTTTCTACAACCCTCTGTCTGAGACATATTATACCCTCTACTAACACACACAGACAACACATTTCTTGTTTCATTTGTTTAGAGGCAAGTCATTTCATCGAGTTTTCTAGCTTGTAATGTGGATTATGAATGAAAAGGCTCTGTATCCTGGAAACCTTAAGCCTTCGCTAAATGTATCTTCAAGGTTCACTGTATTATGTAATGCCTACTTTTTACTACCTAAATAGCATATGTAATCAGATTTTACTGACATTAATTCAGTATTCTATGTATAAGGTGAGCACTGAGATCAAAAGGGGTTATTCTGCGTGTTAAGAGGTTATTCTGTGTCTTAAAAATGTTTAAGAGCTAACTATAATGAACTACAGTATATGTATTAGTAAATGCATGTGGCCAACTCACTATGATCACAAAACTGAGGTTAAGGACATTTGACTCGTGACTAAGATGTAATCTTTAGCTATGGCAAGAGGGCCTCCATCCAAGCACTACAAATGTGATAAATATTTTTAAAAACACTAAAACAAGTAATAAATAGGAAATGTGCACTCTCCCCCACTTCATATCCAGAAGAATATGGATATATTTGAACAAAATAATGCAAGCTGATCATCTATTTGGAGAAGGTGTAAAAATTACTGTGAAACAATTCATGGAATGTTTGTTTGGCATCTCAAAATTATGTTTCCCAGCATCCCCTGCAACTTCTCCCAGAAACCAAGGTGGCCTCCAATTATGGTCTTCTGAAAGCTTGTAAACACTGGCTTGTTGGTCCAGAAGGCTTTCAGAGGCTGGCTGTCCTGGGCACCAGTTAGGTTTTGCTAATGTTAATGTTTCATTTTAATAGATTTATTTTTTATTGGTTACACTGGTCTGATGCTCCTATGTAGATTAGTTATGGCCCTTTTACACACATTTATATACATTTGATAAAAAAACAAACATTGGCAAACAGATATAAGCCTACGGAAATAATAATCACATGATTCACCGGCTCATGTAATAAGCACAATTTAAAATGAAATTATCAGAATGCAAAATGGAAATCAATGAATATTTACTTAAAGAACAGAGATTTCCACCATCTGCTATCCTCTCATACGAAAGCCAACAGTTTAAAAGGAAATAAAGTTATAGGCACAGTTGCCATTTCCCCAAAACACATGTAAGATTGCAAAATAACAGTAGTTCCCTGAAGGTTGACCACTGTTTTGTTTTTGTTTTTTAAAAAACACCTTCATCTTACAACATGAATTCTATCTTCTTTTAATTTGCAAGAAATAAATAATAATAAATTTTTATTTATCCCTGAACTGGCCAGCAGAATACATATTTAAAAGAATCATCGAATGACTCTACATTTCTCACAAAAAATGAGCTTTCCGTTGCTCATCCTCTCTTCCAAAAAAACATCCACTCTTGAGAATCTATTCATATGGATTGATATAAGACTAAGAAAAGTCTTTCTTTTCTTGACACAATTACAATTTTATGGCATGCTGTGTTAGGATTATTACAAAATATATGATTATTAGAAATTGGCTAACCCCGCACCAGTTGAAACTTTAAGGGTGTCTTCTACTTCATAATGATGGGCTTCTATCTTCACTAAGGATATGAGTAACGTTTGCACTGATTCTATTACTGTATTTGTGACAGCTACATTGTGAAATGCTAAGTACAGTGTACTGACAAGTTAGTCAGCAGAGAAATAGTGAATGTTTCCTTTCCATGCATTCTGCTTCTTCTGCTAAGTCTTCTGTTGGTGCTACTTACGTTTTTTTCTAGTATTGTTTGCACAAACACTCCTGCTGCAGACATCAGAGATGCAAATATCATAAGCGGCTACTTGACCTTCTCTACTCCTTCCTGCCACCCCACAGAAAAAAGTTACAGAAAACCATCCGAGCATCTCTAACCAGGCATCTGACAATTTCAAAGAAAAGAAATAGCTTACTATTATATATTGCTTGTCTAGACTAATTTTAGTTACAGAAGCTTTTCTCCCAATTTATTAATGGCATTCACAGCTTCTTGGTTAGAATAATATTATTTTCCTTTCCAAAAGAATATTTTTTCAAAGATTCTTATGAATAAGCCATTGTTATTACAGGGTAGAATAGTTTTTTTTTTAGATAGGGCTGTGCACGCTATTCAGGACAGAACAAATTTATCCAGGCTACATAACCATTTTTTAAAAAGATAAATATACAGCTGGATCCTAAATCAATAAAGATTTTGTGACGGGTGTTGATATAATATTGACTTTTTCACCTTAGATATACTTGTAACTACTTTAATGTAAAGCTCTTATTGACTGTACTTGTTAACAGCTTTTAAAATCTTTGTAATGGATGGCAGCAGGTATATAGTCGTAAAATACTGGCCTGAAAATTCTCCCAACAAGCTAACCTGATATTGTAAACACACAGTTCTCTTGGTCCACATATTTATTTTGACGGCATATACTTTATATGCCTTCACAAGCAAAGCAGATGCATCTTGATATAAAATTAATGCAGCTGCACGTGCACAATGGGCTAAGTTTGGTTAATTTTAACCTGGGTTAGCTTTGGGGCCTTTGCTTGTACAACCCCAGCCTAGTGGGTTAGAATATGATTCTGTGTCCTGTGAGAACCCAGAAAATGGGTTTATTTAGTAACCGCCACAACACATCTACTTTTCCTCTGACTATTTTAATCCAGGATTTTGCCATAACTTCCTCCACCACAGATTTCCTCCTGAGTAAAAAAACAGCATTGCATCTTCCTACTTTTATAGAAAACAGATGAACAGTCTCAAGAGACTGGTGTCTGGTTACACACAAACAAAATCCATTCACCATGTACTTACAAAATAGCCGGGGAGGCAAAACTATTATAAATGCGTAATTTAAATGTGGGAGCAAGCATCCTCCCTACTTGTTTCCCTGAGCCACTTCCACACAACTCTGCACTACTCTCCCGCATACAGAAAGTCACAAATGGAGAATGTGTACTGCAAATGCACATGACAGGAACTGGTAATTGTCCCTTGCTCCTAGTCAGTATACAGATATGCTGCACCTGATCAGGCACCTGCCAGTGACAGGAAATCTATCAGCCCAACCAGATGTTGCTGAACTACGATTTCCAGGAGGCTCAGCCACCTACAAGCCTCGATGGCTGCTGTAGAACTGGAGAGCTACAGGTCTCTCCCCCATCGGAAGAGCTCTTGCCACATTACAGTAATGTTTTAGCAAATGGACTTTGGTACAGTACTAGGACACAGTTTGCCCACAGTTTACAGACCGGGTTCAATTTTTTAAAAAAGGCTAAACCAAACACAGACCAACCATTTTTGGGCTCAGTGGGTTATGTGAATGTGTCCAGATCAACCCAGCGACCCGTAAGCCAACCACATGGGCTGGATTCACACAACACAACACACCATCAAAGTCCTGAAAAGGATGAGTAGGAGCCAAGGTTCGTATGTCTGCACGCACAGCCCTTAGGTCTTTACCCGGATAAATACGTCGTGGGAACACAGCCCCTTGCCAGCCATACACGCGCAGAGCTAGAAATACACGCACAGACAAGAAAGGAACGCCTGGCGGGAGCTCCAAACTTAGGGCTGTCGCTGGCCTGGAGGGTGATTTCTCCCCCCCCGCGTGAAAACTCCCTTAGTTCCGTAACGTGTGAAAAAGCCCTCCGTGACTCATCAAGGTCATCCTCCACGGCGGCCGAAGAGGAGGAGGAGAGACGCCGCGCCGCCTC